TGGCCTCAAGGTAGTTAGCTTCTTATATAGGAACTTTGAGCAACAAGGAGAATTTTCTAAACAAGCTGGAGACTGTAGCTGTTTATGACTTAGCCTTAGAAATCATAGTGTACTTCAACTGCCATAGTCTATTGGTCAAAACCATCACAAACCCTCTCAGAATAAAGAAGAACCATAGATCATAGTTCTTAGAGAAAATGGCAAAGAGTTTGCAGCCATGTTTTGAAACACAAGCTCTCAATCACCATTTAAAGCTAATCCATTTCCTTTTCCCCAATTTCGTCTATGAAGAATCTGTTTAGAATGTAGGAAAACATTGCCAACCACTAATGAAATAGTGGTTATTCCCATTCTGGCATCTTTCTGCAACTTGCCTCAATTCTCCTCGTGATCTAGGATGACCTCCTTGGTACAAGTTTGTCATAAAAGTATTATCCTCCAGTTCATTCCCTTCTCTTCCCACTTCCACCCTCTGTTGGTGGTACATCTCACCCCTTTTTTTGCTATGTGTTCTGGAGACACAATTCCTCCTAAATCAGGCTCCTGTACACTCAATCTTCTCTTACTAAAAGCTGCTAACAACTGCCCAATAAAATATTTATCTCACTCTTTTTCCCATAGAGGCCACTTTTATATTACTGCCCTTACACATCAGGGAAGGGATAGGTAATCTCCTAGCTCCCCACTGCTGTTGACATTATCCCTCCACTGCCTTGTCAACTCTTTTTGAGAATAACAGTAACTCGTTATTGCTAGTTGCTCTCTTCTCTTTGCTCTCATCCACCAACCTTCATTTCCGTCCCTGTAATCCTTTTGTTCTATAATCTTCCTATCAGTGACCCATCCAGTGCTCTAGCCTCACAGTTAAGGCTCTTGTCTATTATCACGGCAACTTCAAAACCTATAGCCACTCCTTCCCTAGACCACCCCTTTCCCTTTATCCTTTTTTTTTTTAAGATTCTATTTATTCATGAGAGACAGAGAGGCAGAGGAAGAAACAGGCTCCCTGTGAGAAGCCCGATGCAGGACTTGATCCCAGGACCCTGGGATCACAACCTGAGTCAAACGCAGATGCTCAACTACTGAGCCACCCAGGTGCCCCTCCCTTTTTCCTTTTGATGTCATCCATCTACTCATTTCCCCATGGATTTTGGTTACCTTGGCATTATCAAGCAATCTCTTTATGCCTTTTTCTGTCTCTAACCGGTCTTGTTTTTTCAATCTCTTCACCAAAACACTTTAGTGATCAGGAGTAGTTACTATTTTTATGAATTTAAAGTTCTCTCAAATACTAATGATTTCTAAACATGGTTTTTAAAGATTTCATTCATTCTTGAGAGACACAGAGAGGCAGAGACACAGGCAGAGGGAGAAGCAGGCTCCCTGCGGGGAACCCAAAGCAGGACTCGATCCCAGGACCCCCAGGGTCACGACCTGAGCCAAAGGCACACTCAACCACTGAACCACCTGGGTGCCCCAAATGCCAATGACTCCTAATCTCTAAACCTAAGAGACTCTTGATGATAGTTTTTGTAACAAGTGACACAGACTAACTTCTTGATGGAAACTTTCTTCTGAGAATGATTTCCTCAGAAGGCTCTCCTGGATCTTCTATGACTCCTGCTCTGTATTCTCTATCCCAATGTCCGCATGTTCTATGGTTCACCCCTCCCCGCAGCCGTCATTTGTAAATGGACAATTCCGAAACTTCTCTCTCCTGCTACAACTTTGTTCCTAACTCTGGAATGGCATGTGTGATGACCTACTGTCATACCCAACTGGGTATCTTTTAAGTATCTCCACCTGAGCAAGCACTGCAGCCTTAAAACCACCACCACCACAGGGAGACATCACTGAAACACATCTTGCAAGAAAAGACGTAATAATGGCAGTGACTGATTTTAAAAGAAAATAAGCACATGTGAGGTTCTCCATCTAGGTGCTAAGCTATTTCAAGGAGGCAAAATTTTTCCACATGCAGGATGGTTGCTGGTTATTACAACCAGTATCTTGAGGGATGGGCAATTCTTTTAGCTCCTCTGTCTTACTGGAAATGCTGTCCAAGAATATTACCTCTCTGTGTTCTTATTTTAAGCTCTGTAGGCAACTTTCTGATCCATAATTAGATTGAACAAAAAGGCAGATGTCTGTTATTGTGACTGGGATATAGCTGTTGTATATTCATAAACTGGCATTCTAGTTGGTAAATGATTCTCTTGTCACAGTTTGCTTGGCGTGAGTCAGTGTCCCAGAGTTGGTGAACTCTAGGTGAACTGTCGAGATCAAGTTTCTGAATCTGCAAAACCGAAGAGCAGACTTTGGACTGTGGCAACTGAAAATAGACCGTGAACCCGAGTGGTGAGGCCCCAGCTAAGGAGGTCAGCAGTGTCTTCTTGTTGATATATTTTTAGCTGCGCCCGTCTTCATTTACATCTCTTTGTCCCGCACAGTACATATCACGGTGCAAAGCATCAAAAAGTTGAACACTTGCTTATTATCTGACCTCAGATATTCAATGGAGCTTCCAAAAGAAAATATTATATGCACTCAATTCCACAACAAGAATTTCGAGGAGAGCCACAAAGCCTCCAGGGCATGAAAAAAGACAAAAGAAATCCTAGAAACAGCAACGAAACAGCGCAAGGAGTGGCAAAGGCCTTAGCAGCCTCAAAGAGCCTGCCACTTATTGAGTGTCTATTATGTGGGAAGTGCTTTGCATTTTCTATTTCATGTAATTCCCCCAACATCTCTGAGCTGCAATTATGCTCAATTTATAGTTGAGGAACACACAGCCAACAGTGTGTAAGTAACTGCCCGGGGTACACAGCTAATAAGTGGTAGAAGGTGGTTCAAACCCTAAGGCATTTTGACTGCAAAGCCAATGCCCTTAAACATAGTGGACGTTTGCTGTTTTCCTGTTAACTATTCACAGCAGCAGGGATAACATGAAGAACAAACTTCAGAATTTATATAAATCTAAGTTTCAATTATAAGCTCTATAACTGCAAATAGCTGTCCTTAGATGGGAGCTAAACGCTGTTTCTTTGGGATTTGCAAATGTAAGCTTAAGAAACATTTTAAAAAAAAAAGGATGCCTAGGTGGCTCGGTGTCTGAGCATCTGCCTTTGGCTCAGGGCGTGATCCCGGGGTCCTGGGATCGAATCCTGCATCAGGATCAGGCTCCCTGCATGGAGCCTGCTTCTCCCTCTGCCTGCGTCTCTGCCTCTCTGTGTCTCTCATGAATAAGTAATTAAAATCTTTTTTTAAAAAAAGAAACATTAAAAGAGGATATATATAACAAAATTAATAACTGAGTACCTCTTTGTTTAAAAGTTGTTCTGAAAAACATTTCTCATCCCCTGTTCCTGTAACCCTACACCACCTTGTACTGAGTAGTGTTTATCTTTTTTGGCCAGGTCCTCAGAGAAATCAAATGATTCTTAAGAAATCAAATGTCTATTGTGACCCAGGACACAAGTACACGTAAATAAGTGTGTGTATGTGCCTGTGTTTCTGAAATGAAAATCCCAAAGCTTTACTGAGGTAAGAAGTCTGATCTATTTCGATAAAGAGTGCTCATCATGACCCACTATCGGGTCAAGATCGACAGTGTGAAGAGTCCTGCAATGTGGAAGGCATGCTTGAGTAGGAATGAGAACCCCGAGTTCTGTGCTAGCTCCATTTTTTAATGGAAAACTTTGCTCCCACCAGCAAAATGACGTGATAGGACCAAATCGAATCATCTCCAAGGCCTCTATTTCAATCTGTCATCAAGGATTTCCTACCCTGATACTGGTGATTTTTCCCCATCAGGAAAGGCCATGCATTTCTCCCCCATGTACAGGCCTGACTGCCCCTGCATGCCTCCCATCGCCCTACCTCCTTATCCAGGTCTATTTTTAAGGAGCTGCAGTACTGGCAGCTGCTCAGCCCAGGGGCTGGACTCCATCCACAGATGGGTCCCAGTAACTTTGCTTGCTGGTTGGAGAGGTCAGTGCCCAGGCTCCACCCCAAAGCAGCATAACCTTACAGGCTCAAACAAGTAAGCGCAGTATTAACATTAACACGGATTCCTAGTGACATCTGTTGTGTCTTTAATGCCCCATCCCATTAGACTTCTAAACCGTAACAGATCTACTTTGAATTAAGGGCAAGCATCTTACATTTGGAACTGGAAACCCTGACCGTATCTGGGGGCAAAATTCTAAACCTCTGAACAGCATATAAACTTTCCAGTTTATTAAAATAAGAGAATTTAAAAGCAGTGTATTTACTTACAGACAGAGAAGGTTCTCGGACTCCAATCCCAAAATGATTTTGAAAATCTAAACGTTATCATTTCTACGCATGCACTAAATAAAAGTACACCCATACACATCCACAAAACTCTACCAAGCTGATACTGGATAGAGGAAGATTCCTAACGAAGGAAGTTTGGATAGCATAGCTAATGAAGGAGATGAAACTGAGTGACCCGCATCTTAAGGGATGCAAGTGATTTTTGCTTTTCGACCCACAGGATTCTGTATGGGGCATCTGTCTCAGCAGACAACCAGAAAACCCAGCACAGGACCATTACGCACTTACCTTCTCCACTGACGGGGGTGGGGGGGGGAGGTAATGCTCTAAGTATGCATCCATTCCATTATATACTTTTTTACTACATGGGACGAGATACATACTTTTTAATAAACTTTAAAGAAGCAAGCAATGTTGGCTAATGGATACACAGAAACCACAAAGGATTATTATTAGGATAATTGCCACCCTGGATAAAAATTAGAGGAGAAAAGATTATAGCTCACATTTAAACTCCAGTATGAAAATACATATTGATTCTGTGTTTCTTCAAATAATGATAAGCTTATAAATTAACACTTCCCTTCTTACGGTCTAGGCCACACCTTAAGAAATACACACGATGCCAGCCACAATAGTAGGTGTCAAAATTTGGAGAAACTTAGGAGTATTAACACTATAATAACATAGAAACCATCAGATCACATGTTACAGTTTTATTGAGACTTTTTCAGTTTTAACTGTCTATAATAGGTACAATTTTGATGATCATGATCACACCAAAGCTCTCCTATTATAAATAGCAGATAGTAAGGTGGCCGCATGCCTTAGACACACACATACACAAACACACAATATTGTACACTGCCTGCATGCAAACTTAGAAAAAATATACATACATTCCTCTTATCAAAAACACGATTACGTACAGTAAGTCTGGAATTTGTTAAGCTACCGTTGATTTAGATAAACCTGAGAAGGCTCAAAATGTCAAGTAACACTGTTTCCATACTGCTCATTCAGTGAAACTGTTAATCACAAAGAAATCTAGTTCAACCATATTAAAATCACAGATAATATAAAAATAAACATTTTTGCAAAAACACTAGACAGACTAGAATTCAAAGTCACAAATTTTGATGCAGTAACATATATTCCCCTTCATGTTAATTTGTACTGTGTAGGATACGATGTACAACATAATAAAAAATTGCAAGACTGCAGCAGCCAAATCATACACAGTTGTCACTATAAAACTTGAGTTAAAGTTACCAACTGAACAACAAATACATTAAAAAGCAGTGTTCAACTTGCTGGTAGTGTGTTACTTAGAAACTATGTGAAAGAACTCAAGATTATACTCTTTCACCTTAAGAAGAAACAACAAAAAAGTAAGCAGAACTGAGGACAGTAAGGGATCGCAACAGCTGCCTGCCTCTTTCTCTCCCCCTCTCTCCCCAGTTTTTCCTTAAAGTCTAATCTATCTCTAACGCCCATTCCTCCGGGCTTCTAAAAATGTAAGAGATCTACTTGGAATTTAGGACAACTTTTTTGCACTAGAATTGGCAGCTTCAACCATATTTGGGGGTACGATTCTAAAGGTCTTGAAAAGACAATATAAACCTGTCTCTGTCATATAAAATATAGACAATACAGGCCTAGTCTGGCAGAGATATTTTGTATTTATTATTGAGCTTATACAAGTTGGACACCGGGGTGGGTCTGTATAGAGAATTCTAAGCAAAAAGGCAAACATGCACAAGCACTTCTAGGGAAAATTAACCTCTTGTATCACAAGATATCCATCCATTCATATTTTAGATCAAAAACATCTCACGACAAACATTTCAAGATACTGGTATTTGAAAAGCACAGTTTATAGTAACTCGTTTTCTCTATGCAGCACGTTACATAAAATACACTAGTGTGACTTATCGTACACTTTAATAAATATAATCGACATCCGCATAGTTGATCTTTCAAGAGAGCTTTTCAAGCTGTACAACTGAAGGATTGTGAGCTTCAACAATAAATACTATTACATTAGGTACAATTTGACCAGCTAAGTTAAAGCTTCAGTAGATCTGTGACTACTTACACATCTTGATTTTCCCTAGTCCAGTCCCAGCTGCTATAGGCACAGATATCTCTTGCATCCGAAGGCAGCTTACTGTCCTGTCCGAGTAGATTGATAAAACTCCTAGGTCACAGGTACACGTCATAATTGGTGAGCTCTGTGAGCATTTTTAGCCAAGGCCTGGAACTGGAGAGTCTTGGATTTCATGCACCTCTGGCTGCCTATAATTATAACGCTCTAGCACGTCCCCTGGGGTCCCAACAGATGGATGTCCTCTAAGTTTTCTAATCCACGGAGAAGTGGTATCGAAAGGGTGAAGAGTCCTACAGTTGGCCAAGTGGCAATGTCATGCTTTTAACACTGCATCCTACTCTCTGCTGTATCTCTTCTTGATTTGTGTTTTATCATTTAAATGCAAATGGAAAAGAGTCAGAGATGTCAATCGGTGAGCCAAAAATCCCTTGAACTTGGCATTAAAATCATTTTGTAGTGTAAAACTGAGTTAACTGGTAAGTTCTATAGTATCAGCAGTTCTTTCATCAAAATGCCAACAGATTTTGCCTTTACTATTAAAATACCCACTTACGTCATCAAATTCCCAGCCAACAGATCACTGCTTCGTCTTGACCCTCTGTATGTCTTTACCATTAGCACAGACTCTTCCCAGAGACCTCTCGGTGCTAGAAAGGGGTTGGGCAAGATCGTTCGTGTTACTGTTTGGCATGTATTCACGTGTTGTCATTGTCCACTAGAAGCCCTGGAAAAAAGCCAAAAAAACAAAACAAAACAAAACAAAACATGCCAAGAAGTAAAAGGGAATTTGTTGTAGGCATTGTCCACCTCACTGGATCCACAGTCCAAAAGAAAGTTCTCTGGGAGCTGAAACAATGGATGTAACGTGTATTGTAAACCAGGCTGGCATCCTGAGACCTAAAGGGAAGAAAACTAAAGTGAATGGTGAGGAAATATTTCAGAAATGTATACTGTTAGCTCATGAGTTCAAGGATGCTACAGGCTTTGAAATCTCCACCTTGGGTAATGCAGTGCTATTAATCTTGTGTCCCTGAGCGTGATGTTTGCCAGGGATCAGTCATGACAGGTTTTATACGTTCTCTTTTAGGATTTTACCCAGACAAGGAATGCTGGAGAGGACCCTACCCCAAATGAGAACCTTAACTAGTCTCTTTCCTCAAAACCAGGTGGTGTCGGTAAGACATCTAATTTCTTTTCTATGATTCTGTGCGTTAACCTCAACATATTTTTTAAAAATCACATTTTAGTAAGGCTCGACACTGCTTTTCTTCATTGACCTCCGTGAACAAAGCCTGGATGAATCTAGGAACTGAAGGTCTCACAGATCCACAGGCCATGCAGGTACCACAGGCACTGCCTTCCAGATCTGACCCTCCTGTCACCGTGTCCCACAGGTTCTTGCCTCAAGACGGCCCCCACCTCGCTTCACTTACAAAGCGCTTTCCAACAAGGGTTTCCACCATCGGTTGCGAACTCTCATGCCGGCTTTGTTGAGGTTAGTTTTGACAAAAACTCCTTTGATATTGGATATATTGGAGTTAAAAAATCACGTCACCTCACCTCATTAGCCTACACCGTACAGAGTTTGACCATTTCAATAGCTAGAAATGCAGTATTCAGTATTTAAGCATTGAAATTCAATATTCATTGAAAACTGTTATTAAAATTACTGAAGTGTTTTGCTGAGTTTTCATTACTGCCTGGCCGGGGCGGGGGTGGGGGTGGGGGTGGAGAACCACTGACCACCAGTCTTCTCTTAAACTACCAGCAGTTGGCTTTGTTGTCTCCACAACTTTTCAGTGCTGTGGCATCTTACATACCACATATGTTTAATTCTCTGTGTTTCTCTCTCCCATATATTCGTAGCTTTTTTCCTTTAATGGATCTTTTATCTTCACATTTAAAGGATTTTAGCTTTTCATTCTACCAAGATAATCTGTACAAAGACTGCTGCTGCCTTTTTTTTTTCCTTTTTACATATTGCACTTGACTTTTTCCAACATTCAGAAGAGGTACAAGAGAACCTTTACACCCTTTTGGTTTAAACTGAAGTCCTTATTCGAACATGGTCTCCTCTAAACAAACCAAACCAAACCCCTTCATCTCTTCCCCACTCCTATTTGCCTCATACACTTGAAAATATAGTTGCAGCCCACATGGTGAATGACTGTCATTCTCCCTCTGATGATAATATCTTCTTGTCCAACAGTCTTCAACCCTGGTCTGCAGCAGATCTGTGATTTTTTTTTTTTACATTGTTTTTACAGCTCTAAGCCTTCGTGCTGGCACACAAACTCCTCAGGCAGTGTAGGGCCACGGTGCAAGTAAACGGTCTTTATCACGGAAAGTCTAAGAGTTCACAGTGTTTACAAAGAAAGTACATGAACTTTGATTATTCCAAATGCAATTTGCCTGTATGATAAAACATGCAGACTTCCACCACCAAGCACCTGGCACCTGGCAGCACTTTTCTAGAAGTTACACTGAGAAACAATCAGGTTTCAGGTTTTTAAATTCCTTGACCTTTCTGTTGGATTCTCCAAAGGAACTCAGCCAGTCACCCCCTACGGCTCCAGGCCCAAAAGAGACACCCAGCTGAGGCCTCTTCAGCTGAGGTTGAGTGAATCGAGTTCCGCTGGAGAAATGATTAGCAGCACAGTTAATTAGAAACTAATATCAGGACAGCTCTAGGACTCAAGCGCACTTTCAATTCTAAAGGCAGATGAGAAAGCACACATTTAACTAAGTCGGCATAATTCGATTTACACACGTCTAGTTAGAAAGGGAGGCCTGAAAGGGGACCCAAAGACGCTAAGTGTGGGGACGGGTGTTTCCGCTTTCTTTTTTTTTTTAAAAAAAAAAAAAAAACTACTACTTCTACTTTGTTCTTCACTTCACTACTACTTTGACTTCACTACTTCTACTTTGACTTCACTACTTCTCTACTTCTCTACTTCTTCTATTTCTACTTCACTACTACTTTGTTCTTCACTACTTCTACTTCACTACTACTTCTCTACTTCACTAAATTCTTCTTCTACTTCTTCTACTTCACTACTTCTACTTTGTTCTAGGCTCACTAGAAACTTAGAGGGGGGGGGAGGGAAACGCTTGACTCTATTTTAACTAAGCATCCTACCGTGTCACAAGAGGGGGGGGGGTGCTCGGTGGTTCCCGCCTCTTCACAGGCTCGTGTCTCCATTCTGCTTGAACTCGGATAAAATGTTGAGGGTCATGTCCTCGCTCTTGGATTGCAGGTTTGCCTCACTCCTCCGGGAGGCCTTCCGGGTGGCTCTGGAGAGCCGCCTCCTGAAAGTGTCTCCCGCCAGGAAATAGAGGATGGGGTCCACGCAGCTGTTGAGACTCGCGAGCCCTCGGGTCACCTGGTAGGTGGCATAAACCCGGTCGTTGAAAGCGCACATGTCCGGGGTCTGGAAATCCAGCCGGGCCCTCAGGTTCATGGTCTTCATCACGTGGAAGGGGATGTAGGAGACGGCGAAGACCGTCAGGACGATGATCACCAGGTAGATGGACTTCCGCCGCAGCGGCGAGTCGTCCAGGTCCTTGTAGATCAGGGCCCTGACGATGAGGCCGTAGCAGCCCAGGATGAGCACGAGGGGCACGCAGAACATGGCCACGGTGGTGCACATGCTATAGACGAAGTAGCTGCGCAGGTACTCGTCCGAGGTGCTGTCGTAGCAGGTGACGGTCCCGTTCCTGCGGACCTGGGTGCCCGAGTAGAAGAGGATGGGCGAGATGGCCAGCGCCACGACGAGCCACACGAGCAGGCTCACGTGCACGGCGGTGCGCTTCTGCAGGCGGCCGAGCGAGCGCAGCGGGTACACCACGCCGCTGTAGCGGTGCGCGCTGATGCACGTCAGGAACAGGATGCTGCCGTACAGGTTGGCGTGGAAGATGAAGCGCTGCAGCTTGCACATGGCGTCGCCCAGCGTCCAGTCGGTCTTGTTGAAGTAGTAGAAGATGAGCGCGGGCAGGGTCAGCACGTACAGGAAGTCGGCCAGGGCCAGGTTGAACATGTACACGGAGATGCCGCTCCACGGCCTCATGTGGCGCGCGAACATCCAGATGGCCACGCTGTTGCCCAGGAAGCCGGTGACGAACACCAGGATGTACACGGCCGGCAGGTAGTAGAACTGGAAGCCCGTCTTGGTGAGCGAGCAGGTGAACGGGGCGGAGGCCGTGCTGTTGCCCCAGGGCCCGCCCTGGCCGCCCGGGAACGCGGCCGTCCCGTTGGGGAGCGGCGGCCACTGCGCCTCGGCGCTCATGCTCGCCGCCGGGACTCACGCGGCTGCTCCGGCCGGGGCCCGGGGGCGGGGGGCGGCGGCGGCGGCGGCGGCGGCGGGGGCCGCCCCGAGCATCGGGGACCAGGGAGCGCGGGGGGGCGCGAGGGGGCCGGCGCCTGGGTCCCCGCCGGAGGGGGCGCGGGAGGGGTCCCCGCGGGAAGGGGCGCGCTCCGGGGCGCGCCCGGGGTCCCCGCGGAAGGGGGCGCAGGACGGGTCCCGCTGGGGCTCCCCGCGGGAAGGGGCGCGCTCCGGGGCGCGCTCGGGGTCCGCGCGGGAGAGGGTGCGGGAGGGGGCGCGCTCGGGGGCGCACTCGGGGTCCCCACCGGAGGGGGCGCGCTCGGGGGAACGCTCAGGGTCCCCGGGGGAGGGCGCGCGTTCGGGGGCGCACTCGGGGTCCGCGCGGAAGAGGGTGCGGGAGGGGGCGCGCTCCGGAGCGCGCTCGGGGTCCCCGCGGAAGGGGGCGCAGGAGGGGTCCCGCTGGGGCTCCGCGCGGGAAGGGGCGCGCTCGGGGTCCTCGGGGGAGGGGCCGCGCTCCGGGGCGCGCTCGGGGTCCGCGCGGGAGAGGGTGCGGGAGAGGGTGCGGGAGGGGGCGCGCTCGGGGGCACGCTGGGGCTCACCCACGCCGGCTCCGGGCCCCTGTTCGCCGCGGGCCATGAAATCCGCCCGGGCCGCCGCGACCGAGCCGGGCCAGCAACTTCCCGGCGGGGCCGAGGCTGCAGAGCCGGGCGCGCGGGCACCTCCGCCGCCGCCGCCGCCGCCGCCGCCGCCGCCGCCGCCGCCGCCAACTTTGGGAGCGCGCCCTCCCCGGGGTCGGGTCCTCGGCCGAGAGCGGGGGCTGCGCGGGGGCTGCGCGGGGGCGGCGGGGCGGCGAGGAGGTCCGGCCGGGTCGGGGCGGGCGCCCCCGGCCGGCTCTCGCCGCCCCCGGATCAACTTGGCTCGGGCATGTCCCTGCTCCCGCCTCGCCCGCTAGCCGCCGCCTCCGCGGTCCCGGCGCTCAGCGCTGCTGGGTCGCGTCGGGCTCCCCGCGCCTGCGGGCCGCGCTCGGGGGAGTGCGGGGGGCGGCTCCCCGCGGGGGGCGGAGTCGGGGCCGCGGGGCGAGCGCCGGAGCCGGCCGGAGCGGAGCGGCCGCGCGGGGTGCCGAGCGCGCTCTGCCCGCCGCGCCCAGGGCGAGGGGGCGCGGGTCCCGCTGCCGGACGGCGATTGGCCCGCGAGCGCCCCTCCGCTCTTCCGCCGCTATCGGGCCAGGGAAGTTGCTGACACACAGGAAACCCCGCGCCTGCTCCCAGCCCTGCGCACAGCCCGGAGCCGGGGGCGCTGGGGGGGGGGGAGCCTGAGGTCTCTAGCGCCCGGGAAGGGGGGGGGACGCCGAGGTCTCTAGTGCCCCGGGGGGGGGGAGCTGCCCGAGGTGTCTAGCGCCCCCCGGGGGGAGTAGGGGGCACCGAGGTCTCTAGTGCCCCGGGGGGGGGGGAGCTGCCCGAGGTCTCTAGTGCCCCGGGGGGGGGGAGCTGCCCGAGGTCTCTAGTGCCCCGGGGGGTGGTGGAGCTGCCCGAGGTGTCTAGTGCCCCGGAGGGGAGCTGCTCGAGGTGTCTAGCACCGGAGGGGGGCACCGAGGTCTCTAGCGCCCCGGGAAGGGGGGGGGACGCCGAGGTCTCTAGTGCCCCGGGGGGTGGTGGAGCTGCCCGAGGTGTCTAGCGCCCCCCGGGGGGAGTAGGGGGCACCGAGGTCTCTAGCGCCCCGGGGGGGGGGAGCTGCCCGAGGTCTCTAGCGCCCCGGAGGGGAGCTGCCCGAGGTGTCTAGCACCGGAGGGGGGCACCGAGGTCTCTAGCGCCCCGGGAAGGGGGCACAGAGGTCTCTAGCGCCCCGGGGGGGGGGGAGCTGCCCGAGGTCTCTAGTGCCCCGGCGGGGGGGGGGGAGCTGCCCGAGGTGCCCAGCACCGCAGGGGTCACCGAGGTCTGTAGCGCCCTGGAGAGGGGCAGGGGACGCCGAGGTCCCTAGCGCCCTGCGGGGGAGCTGCCCGAGGTCTCTAGCGCCCTGGGGCCCCCGCCCGGGGCTGCCCTGTCCGGGGCCCGCAGTCCCCATCGGGGATCGCCCCGCTGCTGCAGCGCTCCCGGCTCCGCGGAGCCCAGACTCCGGGCACTTGCTGGAACCTGCTCCTCGCAGAGACAGCAGCAGCTTTCGGAGGCGGGCGGGGAGGGGAGGGGAGGGGAGGGGAGGGGGAGAGCGGCTTGCTGCCCTTCTAGTCTGCTTTTTACTTTTTAGTTCAATGTTTTTGTTTTTTAATTTTTTTTCCCCTTAACCAGCCAAAGTGTGGTCAACGGAAGTTATTAGTGACTTATTTTCTAAAAGAGCCTCGGAGGCATATTTCCCATCGCTTAGCACCCTCTCTTGATGCCCACCGCCTATGGGCGACAGTAGGTCCCCAGATCCTCCTGTCTAGGGCATTTCAAGATCAGAGGCTACGCTGGATTGTTTTAGAAATATCAAGTACAGCTTAACTCTCGAGCACACCTTTATCTAGCTAGATGTAAAGGCCAATTGCAACTCCAAAGGGATTAAAGTAGGATTTTTTTTTTTGGGGGGTGGTGGTTATGACCAATCCTATTTCTTCAGGTTAAAGTGATTAGTCACAATTAGCTCTAGTAAGCGCCTTAGCAATGCAGGTTGGGACTTCCTTAAACCTCACACTTACTGAAAAACTCGTTTTTCAATGACTTGAACGTATCAAAATTTTAAGCAGTGTGCCTCAGAATTGGAAAACAAATTATTGACTTTTCAGGCACACGTTTAAATGGGCTCACACAGGAACAGAATCTAGCACTTCTGGACAATTTCCCAATAACGTTCTGTTATGTGAAATGTCAGAGGCTTTTCTCTTAGAAGAAAAAGAAAATCGAAAAAGATCTGTAAAATATATACCATAAAGATTTCTTTCTGGTCCCAGATGTTACACGATAGTGTTCTGTTAAAAAAAAAAATACCCAGAGGAAAACCACTAGCTCCTGGCTTTGATACCACAAAGGAAGATGGTCCTTTAGAGGAACACGTCTAGAAAGGACCCTATTCAAATGCATTAGATCATGAGCACACTGGTATTTGGAGTTGTGGTCAATTGAACAGTGTGAAAATAAGTGATAACACCAGAGTAATTATCTCTAAGGCATGCTGTTTTGAAGTCAGTCCTAACTGAAAGGAATTTTTCTCATCATGAAATGAGGGAGGTAGATTTGATTATCTTTTATTTTTTCACTCCAGTCTCCAAATTATAGGATTCTGAGGCTTAACCTGAAACAGTTTCATCTCATTTGATTGGGATGGTACTAACCTGGGATGATATTCTATTAAGAGAGGAGCAAAGAAAACCATTAAGAATTTCATCGGTACCCAATAGGCACTCCTAAGGCATTCCTCTGCATTTTTCATTTGCAACATAAGCGATAGGTAACCTCACTTGAAGTCTGTTTCAAATGTGTTAACTCCATGTATTTTGAAAGGTACAGTTAGTCCAAATACCATTAAGGTACTTTCAGAAAACTTGACACTTGACTAGAAATTTGGAGAAGAGAGTTGTCCTAAATGCACCAGTTACATAGATATTGTAGATACTGCTTTTAGATTCAGCATATCAAACTGCCTGTTTATAGTATGTAAGGTATATTTTAAATCAAAACTGGGGTATTGTGGGAATAATTTGTATGTTTTCAAATTGTTGACTTTATAATGCACTGAGCTAGATAGAATGAAGGAAAAAAAATACTGTCTAAAACCCAAGAACGTGTTAATACTTACTGATCCTTTAATACTAATTATAAATGCCTTAAAGGTATGAAAAGAATATGCTCCCTGCCTCAAAATGTGGTGCAAATTTGCTTTGTATTTGATTAATGTAAATGCCCGACTCCAAGGAATTTATAGAGGGAAAGGCAAAAAGTACAATATCATAACAATAAGCCTTTCTTATATAGTCAGCACTATGCACACCTAACAAGACTTATCTTGAGCTTCAATCCTTAAAAAAATTGTATAATAACTATCCTTATTTTTCAAGTGGTGAAACAAAGGCAGAGAGGTTAAGTGACTCATCCATTGCCACCCAGTAGAAAGTGGGGTTTAAACTTAAGCCATATTTCCCCACAGCCCACACCTCTCACCACTATTCTGTGATGAACTATACAAAAGTATGGGACAGTGATAGGAAAATTAACTTTCAGTGGCCATTGCAGATCGAACATAGAAAAAGGGATTCCCAGAAGCCTTCTAAGAGAAAATCTTGAACCAGATCTTGAAGGTACTAATAATAGTCAAAGTATTTCAGAAGCTTCCCAAGTATTCTACTTCTTTACTTAGGATTTTTTTTTAAAGCCAACAATTTATAGATGACAGGCATTTAAGGAGACGTCAGATCTGTTGGGCCTCAAACCCAAATAAAAAGGCTGCCTTTCCTGTGTTTACAAAGGTTCTCATAGCCATTGTTAGGGAATCCCTTCTCATTCTTAAAGTCACAGAAAATCTAACAATCATTGAGGGTGGAAAGATGGTTGAAAAGATTCTAACTGATGACTAAAAGTATAAGAAACCTTATGAGCACAAAAATATAAAATCCCCTAACCTCAAAGTTGAGACCAAGAAATCCGAAATCTGATTAAATACTACCACCAATGCTAAACCTAATTTGGGGAACAGGACAATGTTAAGATTTTGCAGGTAACAGAATGAGACCCCAATTTAGGAGATAGAGGAATTTCTTAGAAGATTCCCCTAAGTAGAATACCTAAGATGTGATCACTTCTGAGATCCACACTGGGAAAGAGTCTTATATTCCCTGATGACAGGACAAAGTCTAAGGAATTCACAGCTGATGTCCTTCAGTGAGGAGGAGAGAGGGCCATGGTGGAGCAGAAGTAGAAAACCTAGCATACTAAGTAAGAGTGAAAGGATTGTTCTGTGCTGGGGAGGGCCCCGCTGCCCCTGAAATTATGCACTTGTCATGGAGGCAATCAATAGGCTTCCTGAAATACATTTCATTTAAAAAAAAATCAGAGCAGGGATATAGGACACAGAACAGAGGACCCCCAGCTTGCTCC